CGAGCTTCGTGGAGCTGATTCGCGAACCTCTCCTTTACCACTCCCCTGGACCCTCGACCTCCCCCTCCACTCAAGGGAGGAAACGCACACCCCGACTCCCATAGCTGGCCATCACTAGGCAGTCCTGGGCGCTAGCCGAGCAGTCCTGCCGTGTTTGGTGCCTTCCTTGAGGTGGGCCCACTAAAATGCCTCGCCTGTAGGTTGCTTCTTGTGAGGAGCGTTTTGGGCTTCTAATCACACCTTCCACGCGGCCGCGGCCATGTCCTTCGTGGCGCGGCACATGCTTGTGCGGAAGTCTTGGAGGGCGGAGGCCGAGTCCTGGGGAGTTCGACCTCGCCCTGAACAGAGATGTCGAGGTGGCCAGCTTTTCGGAGGAGGAGGAGGAGGAGGGGGAGGAGGAGGAGAGGCTGGGGGATTGTGGAGTCGCACGTCATTTTGATATGGTGTGCATCTAGTGGAACGTTCCTTCATCTTGTTTTTGCCATGTTTCTGTTCGCCGTGCTCCCCTCATAATATGCTTCTCTCGTTATATCGCTATCTCGTGTTCTCTCTCTCTCAGTATCTCCTGCACCAGGCCAATGCATGTCGATGCGATACCAATCCCTTTGCCAACCAGGAGGAGAAGAAGGAGGAGGAGGAGGCGGAGGATGAGGATGAGGATGAGGATGAGGAGGAGGAGGAAGGAGGAGGAGGAGGAGGAGGAGGAGGAGGAGGAGGAGGAGGAGGAGGAGGAGGAGGAGGAGGAGGGGAGGAGGAAGGGGGAGATGAGGAGGAGGATCAGGAGGAGGATTGACCTTCTTCTCTTTCACAGCTGTGCGCCATAGTTCGGAGCCTTTTATCCTCGTGGTCTGTCGTCTGCCCCCCCCCCCCCCCCCGTTTTGGCCACTCCCCTGGCATTCCTGGTGAGCCCTTCCTCCCCCTGGCCGTGGCCCCGTCCCTGGCGGAGCCGTTTATTTTTGTGATTCGCTCTCGCGCGCCGCCTCCCGCGGCCCTGATTGAAACACCGCTCTCCGTTCACATGCACGTGAAGTTCGACATAGGTGGGCGCCCGCCGCCCGCCCCGCCTCCTGCGGCCGCTGCCCCTGCTTCTCTTTCCTCCGCTCTGGTCGCTGGCGAAGCCAGTCGCTCGAGTGTGGAGAGGTGTGCTCAGCTGTTGAGCTGAGCGCAGTGGTCGGTCGGATGGACCTCTCCTCTACGCTGCGCTCCTCCTCCTCCTCCTCCTCCTCCTCTTCTTCCTCCCCCTCCTGTTGGGGTGTTTGGGCTCTCGGGGTCCCTGCCTCTTTGGGCTCTCTTGGGGGTCACTCTTGGGGCCCTCTTGAATGCCTGGTTGGCCGTTTCGGGGGCCTCTTGGGCTGTCTTGAGGCCCTCTTGCTCTTGGGCCGTCTCGGACCAGTCTGGTGGGCCTCTCGAGCCGTTTTGGGTTTCAGAAGCCCAGAACTGCTACAACGCGTAAGTCATAGAAACACCGATGGCAAATCAGTGCTTTCCTTGTGGGGCCCTCTTTGGGTCCTCTTGGGGCGTCTTGAGGATGCCCCGCGTGAGAGCGAGATTCTGGAATACATTGTACGGAAATATCATGCGGGCGCCGTTGCTGGCCGTTGTTGTTGTAGCCAGGGGGGCCAAGGGCCTAGTTTGAGCACGAAGACTTTCCCTATCAGAAAACAGGGTGCGAGCCCCGAGGGGGGCACTTCAAGTGAAACAAACACAATGTGCACCGGTTTTGGGGATCAGCAGTAATGATTCTTCAAAGATCATTTCAACAACTATACTTTTACGACTGCTTGCTCCTATTTGCTCGCGTGCCACTCAACACGCATATCCATCCCGAACGCTCGGTACCCGCCCTCTTCGTCTTCGATCGTACCCCCTTGGTGGTGCATCTTCAGAACCCGCACCGTGCATGTAGTGCAGCCCCTAAACCAGGGAAGTAGAGGACGGATGGAAGGGGGCGGGAGAAGGATGGAGCACGAGAGGGAGAGAGTAGCAAAATGGGGGGCTAGGAGCAGAAAACACGTGGCGGAACCAGACGGGCCCATCGGGCGGGCACACCCAAGTGGGCGGGTCGGGAAGGCAGGCCCAGGCGGCCAGGTCGAGCAGGCGGGTTGCTGAAGCGTGGCGGGGGCGGGGGGGGCGCACTGGGGTGGTGGTGGAGGGGACAAGCTCGCCAACGCTTGTCTGGGGCCCTTGGAGCCTCCAAATCCGCCCTCCGTGGCCGCCAACATGCCAAAGACGGCTCCCAAGATGGCTCCAGAAGGGGCTCCAACACGCTGGAGGGGCATCAAGGACATCCAAGATGGCTTGAAGACTGCCCAAGGCGTAGTCTGTGCAGGAATCGCGCCCTCGCAAGTTATTCAGACACGGCGCCCTCGGCACTCAGGAATCACGCTCTCTCCCTGGCTTTTCTCACGCTTTGCTTGGGAATCGCGCCATCGCTCAAGGCTTCATCGCGATTCATGCAGGATTTTGGCTTCAGCAACCCGCCTGCTCGACCTGGCCGCCTGGGCCTGCCTTCCCGACCCGCCCACTCGGGTGTGCCCGCTCGATGGGCCCGTCTGGTTCCGCCACGTGTTTTCTGCTACTAGTCCCCCTCTTGCTTCTCTCTGTCTCGTGCTCCATCCTCCTCCCTCCCCCTTGGCCCCTCCTTCCATCCGTCCTCTTTTCCCTTGCTTTAGGGGCTGCACGAAATACACGTTGCAGGTGAGAAAGATACATACCCCCCAAGAGGGTACGATCGAAGACGGAAGGGGCGGGTATCGTGGGTTTGTGAGATAAATGTTGAATGACCCGCGAGCAGATCAGAGCGAACAGTCTTAACATGGTTGTTTTTTGTCGTTGTTGTTGGTGTCGTTGTTGTTTTTGTCGTCGTCGTTGTTGTTGTTGTGGCTGTTGTTGTTGCTGTTCTTGTTGTTGCAGCTGCAGCTATAGTTGTAGTTGTCGTTGCTGCAGTTGTTGGTTTTGTTGATGTTGCCATCCTTCTTCCTCCCCTTGGTTCCTTCCTTCCCTTCCATCCGATCTCTCCCCCCCGCCTTAGGGGCTGCACGAAATATATGATACATGTAAGAAAGAAATATACCCCAAAGGGGGTACGATCGAAAACGAAGACTGTGGGTATCGAGGTTTTGGGACGTACGTCTTGAATGTCCCGCGAGCAGCACCGAGCGAACAATCTTAAATCGATTGTTGTTGTAGTGGTTGTTGTCGTTGTTGTGATTGTGATGGTGACTGTGATCGTGATTGTGATTGTTTGGTTGTTTGGTTGTTTGGTTGTTTGGTTGTTTGGGTGTTGGCTTGTTTGATTGTTTGGCTTTTTGGTAGTCTGGTAGGTTGGTTGTTCGGTTGTTGTTTGTTTGTTTTGCCGTTGAGTTTTTTGGTTGTTGTGGTTGCTGCTGCTATTATTGTTGTGGTTGTTGCATTTGCTGTTCTTCTTGTTGTTGCTGCTGCTGTTGCTGTTGCTGTTGCTGTTGCTGTTGCTGTTGCCGTTGCTGTTGTTGTTGTTGTTGTTGTTGTTGTTGTTGTTGTTGTTGTTGTTCTTGTTTGTGAAGTTTCACGACTGAAGATTAATTATTGTTAATCCCCCCTCTGGTGACCATTGTGTTTTTCAATTGAAGTGCTTCCCCCGGGGCTCGCACCCTGTTTTTTACCGGGGAAAATCACTAGGGTCAAATTGCGTTGTTGGCCCCCGAACTTCAACAACAACGGCTCCCGCCTGATATTTTCTCACAATTTATTCCCAAGTCGCGCTCTCTCGCGGCACTTCCTCACAATGTATTCAGGAATCGTGCTCTCGCGTCGGACTTCCTTTCAATTTATTCAGACACCGCGCCCTCGACATTCAGGAGTCACGCTCTCGCTGTGGGTTTCCTCACGATTGATTTGGGAATCGAGCTGTCGCTCGAGACTTCCTTGTGATTCATGCAGGACGCACGCTTGAGCAATCCGCCTATTCGACCTGGCCGCCTGGGCCCTCCTTTCTGACCCGCCTGGTAGGGTCTACCCGCCCGATCTGCCCGTCTGGTTCCGCCATGTGTTTTCTGCTCCTGGCCCATGCTCCATCCTCCTCCCTCCCCCTTGTCCTTCCTTCCATCCGTTCTCTCTTCCCCTGCCTCAGCGGCTGCGCGAAATACACGTTGCAGGTCAGAAAGATATACCCCAAACGGGGTACGGTCGAGGACGAAAAGGGCGGGTATGGAGGATTCGCGATGTACATGTTGAATGACGCGCGAGCAGATTAGAGCGAACAGTCTTAAATTGACTGTTGCTGTTGTGGTTGTTGTTGTTGTTGTTGGTGTTGCTATTGTTGTGGTTGATCAGTATGATGATGGTGATGCTTCTGATGATGATGCTGATTGTAGGAGGAGGAGGAGGCGGAAGATGTAGAAGAATATGATTATGATGATGATGATGATGATGATGATGATGATGATGATGATGATGATGATGATGATGATGATGATGATGATGATGATGATGATGATGATGATGATGATGATGATGATGATGATGATGATGATGATGATGATGATGATGATGATGATGATGATGATGATGATGATGATGATGATGATGATGATGATGATGATGATGATGATGAGGATGATGAGGAGGATGAGGAGGATGATGAGGAGGAGGAGGAGGAGGAGGATGATGAGGATGATGCTGCTGATGATGATGATGCTGATGATGATGATGAGGAGGAGGAGGAGGAGGGGGAGGAGGAGGAGGAGGAGGAGGAATGGGAAGAGGAGGAGGAGGAGGAGGAGGAGGAGGAGGTGGAGGAGGGGGAGGAGGAGGAGGAGGAGGAGGAGGAGGAGGAGGTGCAGCGCCCAGGAGCCTGGCCCGAGATTCGCGCCGGGCGTCCGTGGGGAGCCCGGCGGCGAGGCGGCGGCGCAGCCGCAGGGGCTGGACCTCTGAGGCGGGCCTGCGGGTGGGGCCCGCCCGCACCATTTTGGTATGTTTTTTTTTGCCCTTCCAATCCCTCCCTCCTCCCTCCATCTCCCCCCCCCTCCTCCTCCCCCTCTCTCCTCCCCCTCCACTCCTCTTCCTTCTCCTCCGCCTCGATGCTGGCGCTCCTCCCTCCTCCCTCCGAGGGCAGCGCGACCTTTTGTTGAATATTCATTTCTAGAGAATGATAGCTGTTGATCTCCAGAAGCGGTTCCGCGCGCTCTCGCCTCGACGCCTATTACATTTTCTATGAAAACGAGGCTCCCGTTCGAGCGTTCGCTTGAGTGTAAAAGTGGGCCCTTGGAGGTCCGGCTACGACGACAACGGCTCCCACTCGATACTTTCTCACAATTTACACCGAGACACCCTGGCCAGAGAGGCCCCTCCTGCGCTCGATACTTCCTCACGATTTACTCCGAGAGCCCTTGGCCAGGAAGGCCCCCGAACTCAGGAACGGCGCTCTCGCCCGAGACTTTCTCGCGATTCAGTCAAATTGGTGGAGGCCCAACTACGACGACCAGGAGACCCTCCTTCGATAGTTCCTCAGGATGTATTCGCAGAGGCCCTTGCCAGAGAGGCCCCCGAACTCAAGAGTGGCGCTCTCGCTCGAGATCTTGTAAGTCAGGCAAGTTGGTGGAGGCAAAGACACGGCGACAAGGTTTTCCGTTCGATGTTTCTCAATATGTATTCCGAGAGCCCTTGGCCTGGCCAGAGAGGCCCCCAGACTCAGGAACGGCGCTCTCGCTCGAGACGTCCTCGCACTTCAGTCAGTGGCCGACAAGGGAGATATTCCCCTCGAAAGGGGGTGCGATCGAAGATGAAGTGGGCGGGTATCGAGGGTTGGAGCATACAAAATGCAAAACACGCATGCCAGTGAGAGCGAACAGTCTTAACACGATTGCTGCTGTTGTTGGTGATGCTGCTGTTGTTGTTGTTGTTACTGCTGCTGATGCTATGGTTATTGTTGTTTTTGCTGTCTGTTTTTGTTGTTGTTGCAGTTGTTATAGTTGTTGTTTTTCTGGTTGTTGTGGTGGTGTTTGTTTGTTTATGTGTTTGTTTGTTTATTTGTTTGTTTGTTTGTAAGTTGTGATAGTTGTTGTTGTTGTTGCTGTTGTTGTTGTTGCTGTTGCTGCTGTTATTGTGGTTATTGTTGCTGCTGCTGTTTGTTCTTACTGCTGTAGTTGTTGCTGCTGCCGCTTTTGTTGTTGTTGCTGCAGTTGTTGTGGTTGTTGTTGTGGTTGTTGTGGTTATTGTTGTCGTTGTTGCTGCTGTTGTTGTTGTTGTCGTTGTTGATGAGTTCTCTTTTCTAAGCAATAATTATAGTCGATCACCCCCTTCCGGTAGCCATTCTATCCTTTTCAGTAAAGTATTATTTCTGGGGCTCGCACCCTGTTTTTTGTAAGGGACAGTTTTGGGCCACCAAACTGTGCCCCTGGCCCCCGGTTTACAACAACAGCGGCTCCTGCCTAATACTTCCTCGCAATGTATTCCCAAGTCGCGCTTTTGCGCGGGACTGCTTCACACTTAATTTCAACATCGCCTTCTCGCGTGGGACTTCCTCGCAATGTATGCAGACCCCGTGCCCTCGACACTCAGGAATCATGCTCTCGCTGTTGGTTTCCTGACGATTTATTTGGGGATCGCGCTATCGCTCAAGACTTCCTCACTCTTCATGCAGAATGCACGCTTTAGCAACCCGCCTGCTTGACCTGGCCGCCTGGGCCCGCCTCCCCGACCCGCCCGTTACGGTCTATCCGCCCGATCCGCCCGTCTGGTTCTGCTATGTATTTTCTGCTCCTAGTCCCCCTCCTGCTACTCTCTCTCGTGCTCATCCTCCTCCCTCCCCCTTGTCCCTTGCTTCCAGCCGTCCTCCCTTCCCCTGCCTTAGGGGCTGCACGCAGTACACGTTGCAGGCAAGAAAGAGATACCCCAAAGGGGGTGCGATCGAAGACGAAGACAGCAAGTATCATGGGTTTCAGATGTACGTGTTGAATGGCACGCGAACAGATAAGAACGAGCAGTCTTACAATGATGCTTGTTGCTGTTGTTGTTGTCGTTGTTGTCTTTGTTGTCGTTCTTGTCGTTCCTGTTGCTCTTGTTGCTGTTGTTGCCGCTGTTGTTGTTATTGTTGTGGTTGGTCGTTGGTCGTTGGTCGTTTATTGTTGTCGATGTTTTTGTTGTTGTTGTTCTTGTTGTTGTTGTTGTTGTTGTTGTTGTTGTTGTTGTTGTTGTTCTCGTTCGTGTTTTTTTGCTGTCGTCGTTGTTATTGTTGTTGCTGTTGTTGATGTTATTGCTGTTGTTGCTGCTGCTGTTGCTGCTGCTGTTGCTGTTATAGTTCATGTTGTTGCTGCTGTTGTTGCTGTTGTTGCTGTTGTTGTTGTTGATCTTGTTGTTGTTGTTGTGGTTGTTGTTGTTGTCGTTGTCGCTGTCGTTGTCGTTGTCGTTGTCGTCGTCGTCGTTGTCGTCGTTGTCGTCGTTGTCGTTGTTGTTGTTGTTGTTGTTGTTGTTGTTGTTGTTGTTGTTGTTGTTGTCGTTGTCATTGTTGTTGTCGTTGTTGTTGTTGTTGTTCTTATTGTTATTGTTGTTATTATTGTCATTGTTGTTGTTGTTGTTGTTGTTGTTGTTGTTGTTGTTGTTGTTGTTGTTGGTCTTGCTGTTGGCCTTGTTGTTGTTGTTGTTGTAGTTGTTGTTGTGGTTTGCTGGTCCGCCGAACGCGCGCCACCCCAGGATGGCCCGAAGGCGGCCCGAATACGGCCAAGGTGGCCTCAGCATGGCCCCCAGGCGCCTGCGCCCTGCTCGGCTTCTGCCCCCGGCTGCTCCCCAGACCTCTCCGGCGTCCCGACGCGGAGCTTGGCAGGGGGGGCCCAGGCCCAGAAACACCCTGCTTGCCTCCAGGGTGCCCTGGGTTTCTCGGGTTTCGGTGGTTTTTCCATGGGAAGGGTGACGTTCCCACGCCAAAAATCCAGGGACGTCCTGGGGTCTCAGGGTTGCTTTTCTTGTGGAAGGTTTCTTGTGGTCGGGTCCCCACTGTAGCTCGGGCCTGTCCCTCTACAGGCGGAATATTCAGAAGCAGTCAAAAATAGTCTGCTGGTGGCGATTTCTTGACTGTTATTTGAGACCATGTTTAGATTTTTTTTTTGTTGAATATTTTTCAATTTCCATTTTCATTTTTGAATATGTTGTTGAGTTTTTGTTTGAATATTATTTGAATATTTTTCAGTTTTCTTCCACGGTCCGCCTGTAGGAGGACACGTCTCGGAGCCTGGGGGCCGTTCTCGGGCTCCGGGGCCGGAGGTCTGGTGCGGGCCCGATGGGCTGCCCCGACCGCGGAGCGGGCTCGCGGGAGCAGCGGCGCGGCCGATCCGACGCACGGCCCCGTCCGATCCGACTCTTCCCGATTCGATGCTGCTGACGTAGCCTGCCTCCTCAGACCATGCGCTGCCCTGGAGTTTCCCAGCGCAGGCCCCCCGGAAGCCCCGGGCCGGTCTTCTCCATCCCGGGCCAGCTTTTGGCGGCCCCGCGGCCCGGCGAGCGCTAAATCAGGGCTAGGATCGAGATAAATCGCTCCAGAGCGTTCCGGAGCGCTCTCGGAGCGTTCCGGAACGCTCTGGAGCGGCCGCGGCGCCCAATACATCCTCCAGACCCGCCGCTTCTCAGAGTTTTCGAATTACCCCGATCCGATTTTGTCCCCATCTTCGCGTCGTTTTATGGGCCCTCCGGAGGCCGAGAACACGGCCCCGAGCCTTCCGTCGCGACTTTCTCACGACGCTGGCCCGTCCGTGAGCGGAGGAGGAGGAGGAAGAGGAGGAGGAGGAGGAGCAGGAGGAGGAGGAGGAGGAGGAGGAGGAGGAGGAGGAGGAGGAGGAGGAGGAGGAGAAGGAGGAGGAGGAGGAGCCTGGCCTGCCTCTCGCCCCGCCGCTGGCCCGGCCAGCGCGCGCCTGGCAGGCGGCCGCGCCGCGCGGCCGCCGCGGCGCCGCGCCGGCGCGGCCTCGGCGCGCGGCGGCGGCGGCGCGCGCTCGCGCGCCTCTCGCGTGAGGGGCGGGCGCGCGGGGGGCCCAAGAGAGGAGGAGGGGAAAAGCACTTCAGGAAAGGATGGGGACTCCACGGAGGAGGAGGAGGGGGGAGGAGGAGGAGGAGGAGGAGGAGGAGGAGGAGGAGGAGGAGGAGGAGGAGGAGGAGGAGGAGGAGGAGGAGGAGGAGGAGGAGGAGGAGGAGGAGGAGGAGGAGGAGGAGGAGGAGGAGGAGGAGGAGGAGGAGGAGGAGGAGGAGGAGGAGGAGGAGGAGTGGAGGAGGAGGAGGAGGGAGGAGGAGGAGGAGGAGGAGGAGGAGGAGGAGGAGGAGGAGGAGGAGGAGGAGGGAGGAGGAGGAGGAGGAGGAGGAGGAGGAGGAGGAGGAGGAGGGGTGGGGAGGGGGAGGAGGAGGAGGAGGAGGAGGAGGAGGAGGGAGGAGGAGGAGGGGAGGAGAAGGAGGAGGAGAGGCGCGCGGGGGCCCAAGAGAGGAGGAGGAGGAGAGGAGACACAATGAATCGTCGAGTCCCAGGAAGATATGGGAAACTATGGGAAGTGGGGGGGGGGGAGACAAAAACCCAGAAAGCATGTGGGAAATATGGCGAATATCCTGCTATGTGTGTGTATATTTCTTGGCGTGTGTCCTGGGGCCCCTTCACAAGGGAAGGGGAGGCACCGCCGCGCCCAGACGTCGGCGGGCCTGACCGCTGCAGTCCTGGCGTTGCCCCGACCATTGTGGCGTCTTGGTGTGTGTGTGTGTGTGTGTGTGCGTGTGTGTGTGTGTGTGTGTGTGTGCGTGGGCTCAAGACTGTGCGTAGCCCGCCTAGCTTTTAGTGGAAGAGGTTCGCTCTCGCCCCGCTGACAAAAAAGTGTGTGTGGGCTACAGTGGAGGCCCAGGCCCAGGAACACCCTGCTTGCCTCCAGGGTGCCCTTGGCTTCTTGGGTTTCGATGGTTTTTGCCATGGAAAGGGTGACGTTCCCTCACCAAAAAAACAAGGGACGGCCTGGGGTCTCAAGGTTGGGCTTCTGGTGGAAGGTTTCTTGTGGTCGGG